AGAATGCTGTCATGCAAAAGCAAAGAAGTGTGCCTTTGTAGGGGTGCGTGACTCACTGTTTCTCGCTGTGACACTCCATTGGCTCGATTGTTTTTGTTGCAATTCTGATGGTTTGGTTTATTAGCAGCCCACCTCTCCCGCTAAGGTTAGCTAGTTGTTTCTCCTCTCCCTGCCTCTCATGTGTTCCAGGTTTTAGGCAGCGCGTGCATCAGTGACTCTGGCAGTGGCTCAGTTTTACCATGAGCATAAGAAAGCAAGTAAGTTGTTGTTCTCTTGTTCATGGTCTGAAGACTCAGGGATGCCTCATATGTCAGCACGTATCAAACAGCAGGAGATATTAAATTGCTAATTGTGCCTTTGAGAAAGAGATATCAGAAATTGTCAGAGACTGATGTGGGACAGAGGGACACAAACATATATGTAATTCCTAGAGAAAGTTACAGTAGGCATCACCAGGTTGGGGTTTGGAGCTGATCCAGCAGGCAGGAAATGTCGGAATGGGGGTGTTAATACCTGTGTGTTTGTAAATGCATGTGCAGCTTTGAACCAGTCCCTGGGCTTGGGGGGGTTTGTCGTGTTAGGTGTGGAGCAAGCACGTCCTGCTCCTTGTGTTTTTCTTGGACACCTGGCTGGGAATAGATGTTGCCCCCGAGCATGAAGGAATGGCCAACTTCAGCCACAGAGGATGGCGGAGTGGGAATTCGGCTGTAGGGTGTTGCATTTAGCGAAATGTTGTTGAGCCTTACTTTTTTCTCTTTTTTTTGTGAACTTCCTTGCATTTCTGATGCTTATTCCCTCTGGAGCTGACCCACCTCGGCAGTGAGATTGCAAAATAGCTGCTTTGTGCTTTCCTGTGGGCACGGAGGTGCTGGAGGACGGGCAGTGGGAGCTGGCGCAGCAGCTTCACCGCACTGTCACTCGGGGGCCTCGTGGAAGGGTTTTCCTTACAGGGCCTCTGCAAATATGTTGGAGATGGGCCCTGAGCCTTTGGCTGGGGCTGAGCTTTTCCACAGCAGACTGTAGTAACACTAGTCATTGATCCAGAGACGTGCAGCCTGGGATTTTTGGGGGGTACAGAAACTCTCCCTTCTCCTAAACTGAGTGAGAGGTGTTTTGTTTTTCGTTCCAATAAAGCAGCTGTATGTTGGTGAAAACAGAGATTGAAATAGTATCCAATTTGTCCTCCCTTCCCCAGCCCTGAGCTGCTCCCTTAGCTGCAGTGTGGCAGGCAGGGTTCTCACTGTGAAGTGATGGAGGCTGGGCTAGAGAGTCCTTCCAGCCTGAGTTTTGTGTGATCCTGACACTGGGGCTGGTACTTGTAGCTTTAGTCTGCACTGAAGTCTGTGTGTAGGGTGTTTGCTAGAAGGGTTACAGTGAAAATACAGCCGAGGCTGTAATCAAACCTTTATTTGCTGTGTAAATGCATCCAAAGCCAGAAACTTATAGTTGGTTTTTACTTCAGGGTTTCTTTGACATACTGGTTGGAGTTCCCATTTCCTTGTGGAAGAGTAGAAGAATGGGGTTTTATTAATCTCCTTGACTAATAAATCCTCAAATTCCATCTCCTTCAGATGTGTGAGTTTGTCTCACGCTCCAGTACAGCACCCTCCTGTACTGCCCTTACCCTGCCCTGTCTTCACTGCTCTTTGCTGCGTTTACCTTTTATTTTATTCCTAATATGTTTCTGTCCCTTTCTCTCATGCCTATGACCTTTATTTTCCCTTTTCCTTACTGATCCTGTGGCATTCTCCTGCCCCAGAACATCTTAGCCAGTGCAGCTGCTTGGGAGTGAAATACCAGCACGTGGCTTTGCTCACAGGGATTGCCCTGGGTGAAGGGCTTGCCAACAGATTCCCACTGGGAGTCAAAAGGTAGTGCCAGCTTAGCAGTGAGCAACTTCCAGAATGTGCAGCTCTGTGTTTCTGAAGTATTAAGTTGGTAGATTTTGCCCAGGTCTTTGGAATGAACCGATTTTGAAGGAGATTTTTGGCCAAATCCATTATGATGCAGAGCAGCAAAACCATTTGGGACCATTTAAGCTGTGCAGTTCCTGGGTCTGGGCCACTCTAAAGCTTTGGTTTATTAGAACTGTAAAAGGACCTGAGGGTTTGCACTGTACGTGTGATTTTCCAGTTCTAGTGCTCAGGACAATAAAAGTACTTTTGGAAAATGTTCATGTTTTCTCTGTTCTCTGCATTTGCCAGCAGCTTTCCTGTCTAGCTACTTGTCCTTAGAATTATTTTCTTCACTGGACTGTGCAGAACTGCCTTGGAAATAAATTTTTTTTGAGGTCTCTAAGAAAATGAGGAAGATCCATTTTTTTAACAGAAATCTGAAACATTGCCAACCCCAATGCTATTAAATACCACTTTTCCACTTCCATATTCTCAGAAAAGTCTCTCCAAGTTGTGAAATAAATGCCCATTTGTAACTCTCTTAAATTATACTGTTTAGTTTAACCTGCAACTTGTACATCTGTCCTGGCCACATACCCTGTGAAAGAACATCTCAGTGCCTGCTGCAGTGTGGTCCAGCTTCCTTTAGTGCCACAGATTGTACTGGTCTCAGTGGAAATTTGGATTGGCCTGTATAGCTTGTGGTGTTTTTCAGCCAGAACATCAGTGAATACGAATCTCTAACAGAATCTCTGTGTATTGTTGGGAAAAACCATTCCCTCTCTCTCCATTTTTGATACTAATGGAAGGCACTGTAGGTTCACCTGAGCTGCATCACTCAGAGTTTCTCCACTGGTGTGGAAGTGCATATGTACATCCAGAAATTCATCCTTCTTCCTCAGCAGGGTGATCCTATGAAGCTTCTTGTGATAGAAAAGAAAGTCTTTAGTAGGAGCTGTAAATTTCCTGGTTCCTTTGAGTTGGTTGTATTGTTTTATTTAATAATTTAGCGATGAGTTAGCCCCAGTCCTGGGGATGTTTGCTCAGCAGGAGAGCTCTGTGTTCTGACAGCACCAGCAGGCATCAAGCCTTGTGCTTGGCGTTCCTCATGGATTGCAGGGCATGAATGGGAACAGGGAAATAACATGAGGGGCCCTCAAAGGAGTGCCAGAGTATCTGGGAAAATGAGTCTTTTTATCCGTGGTTAATGAACTCCTTCACAACAATCTGCTACTTTTGAGGGGCTACAAATGTCTTAATGATTTGACTTTCATGGATGGGGTTTTGAGGTTCACTTGTGCTGAAAACAAGTATTGGGAGTAGATGTGATGAATGGAGTCTGCACTGTTGCTGTTTGTGACCAAAGGCTGCAAAAGGTGTGGTGTCAAGTGATAAATTTCTCTTACAATCAGTTTAGTTGCAGTGAGCTAAACCTAAAATTGTCGCTTCTGGTGACGATCATGTGGTCAAAATGTGCTTGATCAGTAAGGCTGTGCTGTATCTTGGCATCTCCAGTTTAGTGTGGCTGTGGCAAATAATCACTGCATTAATAAAGCTGTAAAATAACACTGAAACCTGACAAACTCACAGTACTGTTCTGGTTCTGTTTGTTCACATGTTTTTTGGAGTTGGAGAGGAAAATCCAGTGAAGCTGATTTTCCTTTTGAGGCTTTCAGTATTGCAGCTCTTTTCAAACTCTGCAGGAATACCTTGGGGCTTTTTGATTCTTTTCACAAGCTTCTCCAAACTATACAAATTTTTACAGGACTTACAAACCTTTACCAGAAGTTTATTTTTACAGAATTTGAACTTCTGGCCTGGTGTGATGCTGTAGGATTTTGTGTGCGTTTTTGTCCAGAGAAAGTCACGAAGCATCATAAGTCAGTACTGCAGTAATTAATATTAATTTTCAGCTGTTCCACAGCTGTTTCTTGTTAAGTGTGTGGTGAAAGCTGTGTGCTTGGGCACATCTCAAAAGTCCATTTCCCACAGTCCCTGCCCAGAGCACTCTTCCAAGTTCTTGCTTCCCCAAAGGCTAAGGAGTTACACCGAAGTGTTTGGAGCTGTTCACAAGTCCGATTTTGGCCTCCTAACTTGGGAGCGCTGTATTTTGGATACTTGATTCTGAGATGAAATTGCATCTGACTTTTTACTTTTACCCTGAAAAAGGGTTTGCAGCAATTATCCCAACAGTTTCACATTCCCTGTATTCCTGGTGTTGGAGTTTCGGTTGGTTTCTTCAGTACCGCCTTTTTTCCCCCTTCAACAAAAAGCCAAACAAGCAACAACCTCTCTCTGAATCTCAAGAGATGCTCCTTCTCCAAAATTTACAGTCACTTCAGGAATTTATTCTGTTGGCTGAAAAACCCAAGCTATTTAAAACTGCATCTCCAAAGGGAGCAAAGTCCCTGCTGAACCAAAGCAGGTGGGTGAAGGAAGCTCTTGTCTGAGATGTTGTATACAACAGGCAAAAGGGGAAGCTTTCACGTGTTCATCCAAACTACTGGGTTTGATTTATGGCTACAGAAATCAGTTAAGGCTTTTTGTTAATAATTCACAAGTAGCAGCTGAAAGCTGTTTGATAGGACCTTACAGGTTTTCATTTCTATAAAGTCTTTAATTTCTTTTAATTGATGCAAAACATGTTCCTGCTTTATGTAACGCTGTCTCTTGTGCCTTTGCTGCCTTCACCTAATGCTGCAGTTCTCTTTGTTTGTTCCACCCACTTGTTGGATGGATGAGGTAAACGAATGGGTATTTTTCTGTTGGGACCTGCCAGGGCCCTTAGGAGTGATATGGACCTGGATAATCTCAGTTAGACTCGCTGACAGTCTGCCTGTACAGAGCTGTGTGCGTTCAGTGTCCGAGGCTGTTCTGCAAACATGGAGAGACACCTCTAGAAAATTTGCCGTGAAAAATTTCCATGTTCTGGGAGCAGTTGACTGTGCCATAAGTGGCCTTTCAAGGAATTTCATGGGTTTTAAGCTGCCTTTCTGCAAAATGAAGATTGAAGCTTTCTGTGGTGGAGGGTTTGAAGCAGTCAAGTGCTGCGATCCCACGGTGGTTGTGAAACCTTTTGTTGTGTTTTTTTTTTTTTGTTTGCAGTCAAGCTGCAGCTTCAGGCGGAGGAACGAGGCGTGGTGTCCATCAAAGGTGTCAGTGCCAATCGCTTCCTGGCCATGAAGGAGGATGGCAGATTGCTGGCCTTGGTAAGCAGCACTTCCCTGATGTCTCTGTGTTGCTGTGTCCTGCCCTTGCTCTGTGTGGTGTGTGTAGCCTTTCTTCCTGCACGACTTGCTCAGCTGCTCGGGGTGGGATTTATCAGGTGGAGAAATGAGCTCTGCACAGCTTCTGTCAATTATTTGAAATAGGAATTAGGAGGATTTGGGTATTTCTGCCCTAGCTAGGAGCTGCAAAATTTAACAGGAATGGCTTGTCTGAGAGAGAAAAAATCACAGTGACCAGGAAGTTATAAAAACAAATGAAGAATAAAGTGTCTGCCTTTTTACCCTCAGGAGTAATTTTTTCTCTTTCACTTACTTCCACATAAAGCAATTTTAAAAGACCTCTTTGAAGTGGAAAGTAAAGCAACTTTCTTAAAAAAAAAATTACCTTCATGGTACTAATCTGTGTAAATTATTTTCTCATTTTCCTCTTTGTAGAGAATCAAGGTTTTTTGGGGTTTTTTTGGGCATTTCTACTTCCTAGCTAGAAAACTAGCAAGAAAAATATTTTTGAAAATATGATGATAAAATTTTAAAAGTTATATAAATGTGGGTAAATTAAGCTGCTCTCTAGTGAGACTAGTTTTAGTTTAAGCTCTTGTATGTTTTTGGTACCAGCTGAATTTTTAACCCTGTTTTAAAGCCAGTGCACGCAGCAGTCTCTGAGAGTTAATGTCTCTCAGAGCCAGATGATAATTTTTGCTTTAAGAACTGCAGTCACATTCATTTTTCTTATAAGACCTAAGCACTATAATTCCCTCATCCGCATTTATATCCTTCAGTGCCTGCTGAAGCACCACTGCAGGGCATCCACCCTACCAGAATTTTGGTTTGCAAGAGTCCCTGGTGCTTTGTGTATTCACACAGCCCCATTCAGCTTCTGTGCAAGTCCCCTCCGTGGCTTGGGCTAAGAATGTGCATTCCTCACCCTGGCTGAACTGCAGCTAATGAAGGAGCCTTGACAGGGGCTGCAGAAATTATTTCTGATTCCGCTCTTTGCCTCCATGAAATGAGACTGAAAGTGGTTTCACAGGAGCAGGGCTCCCCAGGGCTCTCCTCAGTTCTGGCTCCAGGGAGTTTCGTGTGGGCTCGGGAATGCAGTTAAAGAACCTGCTTCAAGTTACTCGGATACTGTGTGACAGCTCAGTTGAAGAAAATGTGAGGAGTTGTCCACTGTGCTATTCTTGAGTTAAGGATAATTGGGAATTTCCTGTGGTGCTGGTGCGGTGGCATTCGGCTTCCCATTCTAATCGCACTTCGTACCCTGAGCGATGGGGAATGGTCAAAATAGGGTGTTAAACACTATTTGTAAAATGATAAACAGAAACACAGGGCTGTGTTTATATTTGGGACATCTGACCTGCTGCTGCATGGTGGGTTTGGTTGTAGAACGTGCTTCCCTTGCAGCAATTCCAATTGCTGAATTCCTATAAAGCGAAACGCTCGGAAAGTATCGTCCAGTCACTTGGAATTGCTCTCTCAGAATACGTAAAATTGGGTCACTTTTTGCTTCTAACTTGAGCTTGTAAAACTTTTTTTTCCTTTGGTGTTGTTTCTGGAAATGGGTATTCCTTGAATCGTGTTTGCTGCACACAACATTGTTGTTATTCATAGGTGGAAACTCTCTAGTCTTTCAAAACTTTTTTTCTCCAACCAGCCTAACAAATGCTGCTGCAATTTCATGGCTGTTTTCTGTAGCACTGGCAATGTTTTTCCATGTGGATTTCTGTGCTGTGACTTCCAGCAGTCTGTGGCTGGCTGTGCCTTTAGCATTTTCTGCCTCTAAATACATACAAGAAACTGTTTCTACTTGCCAGCGTCCCTTGTTCAGTTAGAGCAGGGCTGTGTTTCACGAGAGCTCGCAAAGAGCGTACAGGGGAAATGTCTGTGGTAAACTGCACATGATGAAAACACTGCTGAAATTTCTTTTAAAACTTCATGGAACTTTAATTCTTAAACACATAATTTAGTCCTCTAATCCATCAGTCACTCAAGTGTTACTCTGTCCTTTTTAATGTCTGGGGTTCTTTAATTACTTTTCAGCGTCCAGGATCAATTTGCAGTGTCCTTGTTTTACAAATAAATTAACATTTTCGGAAATACGTTTGTAAATTTTTCTTCAGGCCTGTTTTTCGTCTTGTTGGATGTTTTTGTAATTACTTGTTGAGACATGCTGCAGGGTTTGTTCTGAGCTGGGCTTTGCAGGATGATTTACAGCCCGTGGACCACTGCTCACCCTGGTGATCTGCGTGGGGGTGCAGTGCGTTGCGTTCTTGTCTGGAAATCTGGATGATGCAGCTTTTAATTGATCATTTTCATGCTCTTAAGTATCAGGATCAGTCGTGGGGGAGAGGTGATCCCTAGCACTGGAGGAAATGCCGGGTTGTAAATGCAGATAGTGAAAGTTTCCCCTTGGAAAATACACTTTTAACTGAAAATACCTGTGCAGAAATGCGTCTGTTCCATCAGATTTTTTGATGGAAAACCAGAAACGTTTCCCATCTGATATGGTTTATTTTGACTTTCTGGTTTAATTATAAGAATGAAATACTTTCGTTTTATGGAATGAAATGTGATGATTTCAGTTAACGAAGAAATTTCCCAAACTTCTCATGAAAGGACGAATTTTGACTAACTTGTATTTTCTGGTAAATAATTTGTTATTTAAGGATATGACCTGTTCATTCCATTGTGCTTGTGTGGTTTCACTGCGATTAGTGAGATTTTGCCAGACTTCAAGGACTTGACTCGAAGGGAAATTCTTGTCTTTTGATGTTATAGATTCAAACTGTGCTCAAAGAATGTTTGTGAGAATAACCTGCATTTAGTTTGAGCAGAGTTCAGGTGTTTCATGAGGTGCTGTGAAAGCTTCTACTGCCAGATCTGCACTCTGGATGCAGCCCGGACTGAAGTGTGTTTGAAAGGAAAAAGCTCAGATATCCAAGGTTTTTCCATGTGCTGAGATTGACAGTGCAGTCAGTGGCTGGCGTCCTGCTCTTGTTGGACAGCAGTACAGCTCCTGAAATGTCACCTCTGGCAGATGTTAAGGAATACATAGTTCATGAAGCCTGAGTTGTCATTTGTCACCTAAATGCTGGTGTTTATGTCAAAATGTTTACATTGACAACGTACTGTAGGAAAGCACTGGTGTCACGTATACTTTGGGGAGAAATCAGGACTTTTCTTTTTTCAGCCTTTATTGATGTGCCTGAATTTCCACCTTGGGCAATGGTACTGAATTGTCTACACTCAGTTTTAAAGTTTTGGTTCTTAAAGGCTTCTTTATACATTTTCTGATCAGAACAAGGAAATACACAGTAAAAGCAAATTAAAAGCTGCTTGGTCTGTGTTAGAGACAATAAATGAACCATAGGTAAAAACCTCTTGTAGGTGCTTTTAACAACATTTTCACAATAAATCAATAAATTCACCGTTTCTTCAGTCGTGAAACAGTCAATCTCTATTTCTTTAAAGCCAAGGTACTGCTCACATTCTTGCTAAGTTAGTCCCCTGAATGTGAAGAATTGATTTGTGGTGCTACACCAGTAATGCTTTCTCTTTTCCCTTTCAGAAATACGCAACAGAAGAATGTTTCTTTTTTGAGCGTTTGGAATCCAATAACTACAACACTTACCGGTCACGGAAATACTCGGATTGGTACGTGGCACTAAAAAGAACTGGACAGTACAAACCTGGACCAAAAACTGGACCTGGACAGAAAGCTATCCTTTTCCTTCCCATGTCTGCTAAAAGCTGACTTCCATGGCAGATTCTGAGCACCGATGCCACACCAGCACTAAAGATGTCGCCTTTCCTACTCCTCTCCGAAGTAGCCAAATATAAGCAATTATTTGCTGATATTATAACTACTTTTGCAGATACCAGATTAAACCATGAATGTTTCATACTGTCTTTATATTGCTCTTTAAACCTATTGTGCCAGTGTGTGTGAGATAAAATGACTTGCAGAATATATTTTCAGGATCAGTAACACTTCTGTTTTCTTCTAGGTACTTATGTATTTTATTTACCTTGTGCTTGCTTTACGGAGTAGAGGAGAACAAACCTGATGCACACTTATAGCAATAATTACCTTTAAAAATAATTTATATCTTAGCTTATTAGAGAACAATTACATTCTAATAATTACCTAGAAAGAAGTCCAAAGATAACTGTAATATGCAACACTGCAATAATAACTCTAAATTATTACTATAAGGAAATGTGAAATGTATTGCTATCACGTCATGTTTCTGTAGGACTCGGGCAGCTCCCTGTGGTAGAGTTTATAGAACAGGCCTGTGTAGACAGCTGGGAACTCCCTCATGGTTATGTCAATCCTATCAAACCCTTCCCGGTACCCGAACAGTAAGAGCTTGGCCACGTTGCTGGTGATGGGTGTGGCGTTTTCCGTCCTGGCCAGCTCCTCCAGGTCCATCCACTCGCACCGGAGGCACTCGTGCTGGCAGAAGCTGATGTGGAAGGAGGAGGGCTCCATGCGGCAGATGATGTACATGTCTGACTTCCCAAAGGCTCCGGGGTGTTCGTGTTGCTGCCTGATGCTTAGGATGGACTTGAACTCTGACTTGATGCCAGTCTCTTCAAAAACCTCTCGAACTGCTGTGTCTCCTGGGTGGAAAGAGCAATCCTCACAATACATCTGAGAGTAATTTAGCACTCCTTAAACCTTCTGGAAAGGTGGAAAGCCTCTTACTCAGCATGTTCTCTGTTCTGCTTCATAAGGTTTTCAGAACGTAAGTCTGTTTTTCCAGCACAAGGATAAGCTAATTTTGTTGGCCCCCAAACAAAAGTAATTACTGTGTGTTGTTCCTGTGTATATCCTACAGAATTACTTTGGTAATGCTGTACGGGGTGTGGTTTGTAGTGGACACTGATGGCTGCTGGCTCCACTGATCTGTTAATTCAAGCACTGCACTGTCTTTGCAGTCCTTTGGATCTCCATCCCTCTCATTGCCCCTGCCCAGTCTCAGGTTCAGACTCTGTGCACCTGCACCTGTACTGATGTCAGTTCTCTTGATCGGATCAGTTTCTCTGCACCTCACCCCAAGGGGTAACAAAATGGGTAAAACTCTTTTTAGAAAGTTGGTGCCAGGTCCTTTTCAAGATGTACCTTTAGAGTCTGGTGACATTTCAAATATGCCACAGCACCAGTGCAACACAGAGCCCGTTCTTGCAGGAAACATGCTGCGAGCATGTTGCATCTCTGCTGCATCTGTGCTGCACGTGTGCATTCTGTGTGCCCCAGCCAGAGTGAGGTCAGTGCTAACATTCCTCACCACAAACGCAGCAGGAAGTTGAAGGGTCTGCAGGGTCTGTGTGCTGCAGTCACAGCCAGAGAACCACCCATCCATCCACAACTTCTCCAGAGAGAAGATTTTTCTCTTCAGTAACAAATTCACGAGCCCCAAAGAAGCTTTTTAATATTCCACTCATTTCCCCGAAATCTGCAATTTCATCACAGTCAAGTCAAATCCAACTTGCCTGGGGTAACTACTGGTGGGTTAAATACTGTCTTTTCCCAAATTAATGTAACCTCCTGGTCGTGCCTGTTCTGAGTGGTCAATGTACAGAACTCTTGTGCAATGCTGTCTGCTCCTGTTAGTTCATCTTCAGTAAGGAATGTGTGCTGACTTGCTTCCAAAAGCAAATGCATTTTAAAAGACTCGTAGAGATTCACCATCCTATGGAAGCTTGTATCTTGCCAAGTCAGAGGGGAACAAAACAGACATTTCAGGGGTGATTTTAGATACTGGAAATTTTAACTCCCTGCAGGTTTTTTTGTTAGTGGGCAAGGAAGGGGCTGTGTTACATGGAAGTGAACTGAGATCATGAGGAATGCTGAGGCAGGCTGTAGTTAAGAAAATTGCAGTAATGAGGGATTTCATTTAAGCTTTGAGCTTTGCTTTTAGATGAAGTGCTGTTTTGTTTCCCTTTTATTTAAATGTGTGTGTGTATGTATAAATATCTAATGACAGTTAAACTAGAAGAAACAAAACTCAGATACAAAAATGTGTGCACTTTGCTTAATCTGAATCATGAAACTCTTGGTGTCACTTGACTCAGATACAAAAATGTGTGCACTTTGCTTAATCTGAATCATGAAACTCTTGGTGTCACTTGCAGGAGTCAGTTGGCACTCATTTAAGTAGGCAGCCATGCATGTTGTCACTTCATGTAACCAAAGGATTTTAAGCATTGCAGTAGCAATTTTTAATTGTAATTTGAAATTTAGTCCCTTGACTGACTTGTGTTTTTAAGGTTTGGTGTAAGAATGAGAAAGGAAAATTAGGCTCTGTTATATTTTATGCTTCACTAATTTATATCTTCTTGTAATATAAGCTGTGATGCAGAGAATAGTAACTTTTATTATTCTGAAGTTTAGAAGTGGCGGGAGGGAAGCTGTAAGAGATTCTTCTCCTGGGTGGTTTTGAGTCCAGGCTCCAGCCATAGTCTCACCTGTTAAGTGAGGGATGGCTGCTGTTGTGCTCAGTAGCAGTATCACTCTGGGGAATCCCACTGGAACACCAGTGCTGGTCATTTGTGGTTCCCTCAAGTACAAAAGTCCTGCTGCTGCTGGCACTAGAAGTGAGGAGGAGCCTGGCTAGACAACAGCCATGGCATTTGGGATTCTTTTGAAAACATGGATCCATTTCACCACGTTCCATTGCATTATTCAGCAAATATTTTTGATTTCAATTACCAGGTTTGACAGAAAGACTTAAAAAAATGACTCATGAGTTATAAAAACTAAACTCAGCCATATCCTGACAAGAAGAAACTTTCTTCATGAATTGAAGTAATAACTGGATTGCAGCCCTACCACACACTGTTGTAGGGAGACTGCTAAAGTAGGTATTTCTAAGGTATAGAACAGTCAGGAAACCTGGGCTTAAGAAGTAACCAGCCTACGGATCATGATTTTAAGGGCTGAGATACAAGGAGAAAAAGGGCAGATTTTCTCTCTCTCCATAAACACCCTTGTTCATTCATTCACCTGTGAAGATAAACTGCAAGCAGTCACCAGTTGCGCTGTGTTGGAGAGAAATGAGTCCTCAAGCCAGCACTGTTTCCTACCAAAGGAATGCCTCACGTCTCTGTTTGGAATATGTGCCCCCAGGACTGAGGCCCTGCACTTCACCCTGGCTCTGTGCCAAGGAGAAGCTAATCAAGTGCAGGGGGTGGAAGGAAGCAAGTGCATTTATTTCTGTTTTGCACATAAAAAGGGAGAGTTGGAAATTTTTGCTTAGTCCATCCCTGAGGTCATTGCCCTTAACTCCAGTGTGAGCCGAGAGCTCCCTGTTTCAGTTTTATTTGGGCTACATATGGATTACCTTAATCCTCTGCACTTCTGGCTCATATTGCAGCATATCTGACCAGCCTACAAAAACTTAGCTGGCCTCAAGCACTCAAAAGAAAAGTGTGGAAAAGAGTAAATGTTACAAACACAAAACTTCTTTGTCCTGAACATGCTACCCTGTTACCATTAGGGTCCCAGGATTGTGTCACTCCATCTATTCACCATTAATTGAAGGAAACAATCCATCACAGGAGCGACAAAGATCAGGCTGTATTTCAGCAGTGTTCATGTGTTTATAGTTCAGCTGATGGCTGACCTGTTCTCACAGAACTTACCAATGTCTTCTCCTGGATTAGACAGACCTCCTGGAAATTTCCATGCATATATAGTCTGTATTGGGGGAAAAAATCCATTAATGAAACAGTCAGCCTGTGCTGCACTCTTTAATACAAAAGAGACAATTGACACATAACTTTTTTGTTGAAGTTGCAGTAGTTATTTTACGAATATCAGTAAGTAGGAACTTGTTTGTTCCCGCTGATGTGATGATCAGAGATGGCTACAGTCTGTATGAACTATTGGAACAAAACACCTACTGATTGAAAATGCAAACTGTCCAACAGTCATTAGACAATGTTGCTGCTAGATAGAGTAGTTGAATATTAAAAAAAAAAAAGCTGCTATAGACTATATAATCTTATATTTAATCACTAATGTATTCCACTTCCATTGTTTTGGCTTTTAAAAAATGTATATATATTTAATCTTACAAACAGGTATTATGATTGTACTGTTCTATACTGCACTGGCTTTAAGATGTGTCTGTAATGATCATTTAATGTAACTTGTCATTTTCATGGAATACAAGAAATGAGGGCTTGTGTGTGGTTTATGTATAGAAACATTTATTGAATTGCAATAAAGTTCAGTATTAAAACACGAAGTGCAGGCTTGGTGTTGTTACTCACACTGCTAAAGGAGTCCCAGTCCCTGCACCTCTTGCAAGGGCACAAAGATTTGTAGGTTTTACCTTTACTTCTATGTACTTTCTATTTCTTTCCTTGTTAAAAGTTTATGTAGGAAGAAGTTACCCTTCTCCTAGAAATAACTGCAGTAAAAAGGCACGCTGGCCCAAAAAAAGCTTTTTTTGTCTCTGCAGCATAGCAGGGAAGCTGTCTGCTTTCCAGTGATTTGAAACCCTAATGACTACATTGGAAATTATTTTTTTTTCCTGGGCATTCTTAAAAGGCTTGGATAGGAATTTAAAGTAATAGATTAAAAATAGTGCAGATGGAAAATACATATATTTGTCTGTTGGCTTTCAGATTTACTTTTACTTCGTGGAAATCTTTGTGTGCTGTGGAATTGTCCTGTCACAATTAAACCCAAACACCTCTTAGAATTCCAACAGCTGTTAATTTATTCATTTTTTTTTACCC